GTTAGTACAATGATTAGTACAGTTAGTACAGTTAGTACATTATAATAATTAATATAAAAATTAGTACAAGTACAGTATAAGTACAGTAGTAATTTTATCTAGTACATACAAAATTCCCAACCCTGCTTATAAAAATGGCGAAACTATATCAAACACTTAGTAAAAATTTAGCAAAACTAAAGGCTTTACCATTTTGCCAAATCCAAAATGAGTTTAGACAAGCAACCTTAAGCGTATCTAATGTAATGAAAATAGTGTATCTAATGTACTGAAAATAACGTATCTAATATACTGAAAATAACGTATCTAATGTACTGATAATAATGTATCTAATGTACTGAAATAGCTTATACAATATACGTAATTTACAAATTTTATATTCGTAATTCTGACATTTTTCTTATTTTGTATACGTAATAATTACATATATATTATATATAAATTCAGAATATAGAAATTCATTATGGTGAGGTTCAATTGTATATTAAAATTACCTATAACAATATGATGGTAATTTTTAAATTAGCTTTTAAGATAAGATTTAAAATCTTTTGTTGTACTTTCAGTCTATATTGATGTTCAGGATAAGTGTATATAGATATATTTGGATAATTCTTAATTTTTATTTGTTTTTTCATTTGCAAATCTATAAAATGATTCTATCATAAAAGTCTTGATAATTAAAAATATGTTTAGAAATAGAGGATTTAACTATAAAACCAACTTCTTAGTAATTTTGAGAGTGATTTTCATTCAATAAAAGTATTTGTATGAGAGATCAGGTGACTTGAAATTGTTATAATTGGAATATGATTGTTGCATAGTTAAATGAGTTTCTGAGAGACTAGGATGTCAAGTGAAAAATGTTAATTCATATGATTTAGACTTTTCAACAATCACATGATACAATTTTACTCAACTAGTTTTTTGATGTGAGTTACAAGACAAATAGAAATCGCCTAAGCGAAAAAGGTATTTCAAATAATTATAAATACCAATAAATAAATAGCTAACAAGAACTTTTTGATTTTATTTGTTAGTAAATGCTTTTTTTTTTTTTTGCAAAAAAAAAAAAAAATAAGTAAGCATTAATTAAATTTAAAAACTTGGATTATTTTTTGATTGACGTATTGCATTCAATAATTATGATCACAAGATCAACATTAAAGCGTACAATTTTCTCTGACAAATATTACTGCATTGATTCGCGTGGAACCAGTGTTTTTCATTCTTGCTTCTGCAAATGTCTAACGAATTAATACAATGCAATTAACAAGCTGCTTGTTAAATTTGCATTTTCTGGTTTGTGTTTTCAAATAATCCAAATCCATGGGGACTAAAGTCTCGTTATTGGTTTAAGATTACATAAAAAAATAAAAAAATGTCATGAACTTATTGATAACTTTGGTCAGCATTATAAAATGTAACATCAAAATTTACTATATATAAACAAACATTTGAGAAAGTTGCCGGCATATTTCGAATTAGATCTTTTCCTAAGAAAGTAATTAGGGTCTATTAGTTACTTGATATTGTCTTGAAATTTTTTTTTGTGACACAAACATAGAAGTTCTTTCAGCTCCTAACCACCATAAACCATCTCAGCCGTTTAGTTTCTTAGAGGGATATTATTTTTTTTTCCTCTTATTTTCCTCTTTAAATTCTCGAGATCATCGAAGAACTTGATAATATCATTATATCACCATGAGTAGCGAATCAAGAACAGAACTAATCGCGTGGATGAACGACTTGTTGCAAATCAACTATACAAAGGTTGAACAATGTGGAACGGGTAAGTAAAACTATTTTTCGGTTATTTTGAAACAAGTATATGACAATCAACATCTCATAGACGTTAAGAGTCATATATTATGATTCATTTATTCAAAACTTGTTTTCACTTTTTAAATAACTATCGAATAGGCGCGGCTCATTGTCAAATAATCGACTCCGTATTTGGTAATTATGATAAGATTTATGTATTCTTTTTCAAAGCTCGGTTTTATATCATCGATTTAAAGACTTGTAGCATATATAACTGAAATTTAATATTTAGGGGATGTTCAAATGCAAAAAGTTAAGTTTAATGCGAGACATGAATATGAGTATGTCTCAAATTTTAAAGTGTTGCAGACAGCTTTCGACAAACACAAAATTGATAAGGTAAACAGAAATAAATCGAGGTTGAACTTATTATATTTACTTTTTAAAATTTCGAGATCTTTTAACTAACTTGTACATCTGATTTAAATAGATGATTCCTGTCGAACGACTTGTTAAATGTAAATTTCAAGATAATCTTGAATTCTTACAATGGATGAAGAAATATTGGGATACGTACTATCCTGGTGGACCTTATGACGCCTTAGCAAGGCGTGGTGGACAAGCAGGAGTTGTAAAATCAGTAGCAGGTGGTGGCGCCGCTAAGACCATGGCAAAAAGGACCACTGCCGCTGGTTCAGCAGGTGAATAACTTTTTTTAAGAATAAAAAAAAAAATTTTTTTTTATAATTTATCATTAAGTGATCTAATTTTGTCTGTATTATAGGACGAATGGCATCTTCATCATTACATGAATCCAATCAATCAGCTTCAATGATGATTGAATTAAACAAACAAGTAGATGAACTCAAAGTTACCGTAGATGGTCTCGAAAAGGAACGTGATTTTTACTTTGGAAAACTTAGAGATATCGAAATCCTGGTTCAACAACAACTCGATGTCGAACCTGATAATCAATTATTGAAAGAAATTCAAGCCATTCTTTATAGCACAGAAGTATGCTTCAAGATTAATCTTTTTTTTCCAAATATTAAGATGTGCTCTTTTTTTAATAATAAATTTCAATTTATTTTTTTAGGATGGATTTGAAGTTCCACCCGAAGGAACAGCTGAAGCAGAAGTATATGAAGATGATACATTTTAATTTTATCAAATCAAATATATAGAAATCCACCAATAATTTTTTTTTTATAAAAAAAGATGATAAATGAAACGTATTCGTGTGAATTAGTATTTCTTGAAATTATTTCATCGTATTCAAATGTAATTAATTTATTATTTGTCGATGCACGATGTAATCATGTTTTGTTGAGAAAAAAGTTTTTTATATATATATATTTCAAAAGATCCAAATTACAAAAAAAAAGAGAAACAAAAAAAAAAAAAATATAAGTTTATCATTAAAAAATTTTTATTTTGTCCGAACTATTTTTTCCTTAGATTTTTTTTTTATTGTCCAGTTAGAATGTTGATCAACTATTTAAAACCTAATAAAACAAATCAACATAAATATATATTTTTTTTAATTAAAAGACGAGAAATTGTCGAAAGTTTTAAAATTAGTTTGTTATATGTTCTCGTGGATTATCGTTATCACAATAGATTTATTTTACACCAAGGTGGTATTTGAAAAGGGAGGTAAAGATCATCTTTTACCTCCCTGTTTTGCGTTAGATCAATTTCGGAAAGTTTAGGTTTTCTATGATCAGTTATCTGCTGATCAAAAAAAAAGTCAATTATAAATGGACATAAATTTATATTTTCTAATTCATTTCAAATTTTTTTAATGGTATTATAATTATGGTTTGTAATTATTTTAACAAAAATAATTCCTTCGTTTTTAAATGATAATTTATCCTTGTTATATTAATTGATTTGGATTCAATTTTCGATTTAGGCATTAAGTGATAAAGCAGTTGGTGCAACATTACTTTTAACTTCTGTAGTATTGTTTTTATATTATACGATATGGGCATTGATTATGGTAATGTATTTATTTTTATTTTGTTTTTTAATTTAAATTTAGACAATTCAGTTATTATATATCTAAATACGTAATTTGGGTTTTTTTCTATCCACTCTATTTACTTTGTATAGCCATTTGTTGATGAAGGACATCCATTACATGAATATTTTCCTGATAGATCATATGCAATAAGGATACCTGTTGTGTTATTACTTATTGGTCTTACTGTAATATTTACTTTCTTGGCTTTAGTGATGATAAAAAGCAATGGTGCAAAGAAAAATGTCAAGAAGGCTTAAATATAGATAGATAAAAAAAATAGATAGATATATACAATATATATTTTTTTTCATTTTGTTTTGTTAATTACAATTATAACTATGACAATGATTTTAGTTTTAATAATAATGGAATATAATAAACATTGTTTCATGCTTATATAAATTTATTGATTAAGAAAAATATTTTACGATTCAGTTTCAGTTTACAAACCTCGTTGCAGTAAAAAAGGTTCGAAAGCCGTTTTATTTATAAAAATTTCGGTAGCAAAATGATCAGATACTTATTCGACCCTTATGGCCGCACAAGATTGATTACATTACACGTAAACATCGTGTTTTTCGTGTTTTATGGATGCATGTATACCTCACACACATTTGTATATACATAATTAAATTTGACTATATAAAACAATTCTAATATTAATTTACATTTAACCACTTATTTTCTATTTTTTAAAATTGATACTAATCAATTTTACTTACACGTCCCCTTATCAGGAATTACACAAGTAATATATATAACTTCTTTTTTTTTTAAATTTCACGTTCTTTTTCCTTCTCCTTTTCCTTTTCTTTAAGTGGATGCTTCTTTAGTGACGCGCTAGTCTTGTCACTATTCTTCTCTTCCTTCTTACGTTGTTTATCAATCTCACATAATCTTTTATATATCATGTTCTTTTGTCTTATAGCTTTTAAAACACTTTCCCTTGTCTCATTGTATCGTCTTAATATCTCATTGCTATTTTCAAGTTGCTCTTGTAATTGTTCGCGTACTGTATTCAAAGTTAATAACCCTTGATCTTTAGCTTCTTGAGCTCTCTTTCCTTTACTTCGATCATTCCCTTGTAACCCCACATTTAGAACTCCAAAATTTTTTCCTCCTTCAACTTCTTCAGCTTTGACCACACGTGTACTAACCGTCTCCGGTGGAGGATTTAATCGGAAATCAAGATCTTGATGCATAACATCATCACCTTGGAATACTATCATTAATCTGCTTATCTTCTTGTTAAATTCGTGTTCCTTCTCAATTCTTTCCATTAATTCCTTCGCTAAAGATTCTAAATGCTTGCTTTTTAGTATACGTCGATAATGTGGCTTGCGCACCGCATCTTCAGGTTTCTCTAGTGGTCCAAGAATATCTTCAACATTAATATCCTTATATGGGTTATCATTAGGATCACCTTCAAATTCTGTTGCTTGGTTCGTCGTCTCTTTATTTGTTCGGTAAATAATAGGTCGCCTTGTACCATGAGGAATTTCGACCTCCTCTTTATCCTCAATGTATCCATATGGTGCTCTTAATTTGACCCCGCTGTCTAATGCTTCAGCTCTATTTTTCATTTTATGCCCTCGATTATGCGGTACTAATCCTATCTCTTGCTCTCTCGACATATTCTCATCACGTGATATAGTAATGTCGGGTATGGGTCCTGAATATCTACTAGATCGATGATGAGTATGATTATGATTATTACTGGTATTTATATGAATATTATTTACTGCAGCATATTGAAAACTAAAATCTGAATTCATAAGTCTCTGTGGGTCATCTCGAGACCTTGAAGACATTGAAGACATATATAGTACACGAGCTGCTTCTGTAACTTGTTTTTCGGCAGCCTTTTGTTGACTTACTGTTAATTGACTTGTTTGTGGTATGGTTTTCTGGGAACCATGATGCCCACCTTTATGCGATCTATGAGATGATTTAGTGGATGAAAACTTTGGGGAAGTATGTGACGTTTTCACAATCGCTTGCGGAATTAACGGAGAACTTTGTTTTTGACTAATTCGCTGCTGAAGTTGCATTGTTGAATTGTTGTGCGTAACTTGCTGTGGTAATGTTTGTGGCAGTAATTTAGGAGTGCTACGTTGAGAAGACTGAATTTGTTGAGGCATGTCGGGAATATAGGACTGAGATGATGTACGACCAGACGTGTGTGAGATAGGCTGAATTCCTTGCATTGCCTGCGGGCCTGATTCTTGTACGGAACGTTGACCCTCAGCAGGACGTAAAGTTGTATGTGGAATACCCTGTGTCGACTTTGAATTCGTCTCTTGAACGGAGGAACGTATTGATAGTTGCTGTACACCTTGTGTTAACATGTGTGGTGTAGAAGTTGATGAAATGGATTGTCTTATGTCATGCATAGGCATTTGCGGACGTGTTGTACGAGCTGAATTTGACTGCAAATCGCCATGAGCCGATAACCTAGGTGATAGGTGAGGTTGCATGCTCTGCGGTGGTAACATTGGAGGATTTGATTGTTGAGAGGTATGATGCAGAGGATGATAATTATGTTGGATAGATGAAGTATTTACAATGGTTTGGTGACTCGACTGTTGTGGAGGTAAGTTTATTCTACCAGAACCCACGGAAGGCTGTCTTACATTAGGTCCGGATCTATAAGGATTTGGATCCACAACAGGATATTGGTAAAATTGTGAAGGTGGATTCATGGCTTGTCTTATTCCTGGAGCTACTCCTGGAGGGACTCGAGAACTCGGTGGAAGAGGACCCGGTACATTTTGAAATGTTGAAACTCCTACTGTTGACATTATAGGTGGAGTTTGAGTAGATTGCTTCAGAGTAGACAGCTGACGAGGTAATCTAGGAGAAACATTTGTGACTGGAGCTCCCACTGACGGCGCTGACTGGCGCGATGTAGGATATTGTAGTCCTCTCCCAGGCGATAGATGTTGTTGTTGTGATTCTTGTAACATACCTGGACTCGCCTGTTGCATTCCAGGTGCAATTGGTGACTGTCTTTGAATCGACTGTAAGCCTGTATGGTTTATATTAGTTTGTTGCAAGGAAGTTTGATTCATCGTCTGAAAGTTTGGTCGCATACTCAGTTGCATATTCATCGGTTGCAAATTTCCCTGAGAGAGGATCGTTGGCTGCTGAGGAGCGATAATTGACTGCCTGCGACCTGAAGGAGCAGGAGCTGGCGCTGAGGTAGGTCCATTATGCTGTAAAGGAGGATTTTCTTTCATAATTTCTTTTTCTTTCGTCAGGGGTAAAAGTAAACTAACTCTTCAAACTCTATCACACTACATCATCACTAAGAATTTTTTTTTTTTAAACCACCTTGAAGTTACTCAAATTCTAAAAAGGAAATAAAGTCATTACCGCAGTATCTGAACCATTTTTTAACAATGCGTTTCTTATATACGGTAACATTACACTTTTTTTTGAAATATTACAAAAAAATTCTAAGCCCTTTTTAAATTCAATTTTTGAAAAATTTTTGTTATGTAACACAAGTTATTTTAATTGGTTCAATAAAATTAGATGCTATATGATTGATTCACAAATATGGAATTTTTGTTCCAAGCCTCTGCTTTATTTTTTCTCTACCATTTGAATACTACGAATATTTAATTTCAAGTTCAATCACAGTGTGTAATTTAATGCACAATAAAAAAAATGAGTGAAGGCGAAGGTAACCTTGTCTCTCTCTAAAAATTTACTTTCCTATAACTTTTTAATAACCTTTTTTTTTTATTAATATAACAGGAAATAATTCTGACAACTTTTCTCAGGACAACGACGAACGTCACAGAGACAGCAGTAGACATTCTGAAGAACGACTCCGCGATGATGATGATAGGACTCCATTTAGAAGTCCTAGACAGGATCGTCACGACGACAGACGCGATGATAGGCGTAGTCCACTTAGCCATTCTCGTTCTAGATCCCCTCGTAGATCCTCCAGGTCACCAAGTGGAGGGTAATTTATCGTAATAATTACAGATTTAATTTAATTCAACACTTTAATCTATCTAATATATGAAATGATATTAGGGACGAAGAAAACCTAAATCCAGGAAATAATTTGTTTGTAACTGGGTTATCCATGAGAACTGGCGATCGTGAATTAGAGGAGATATTTTCAAAATATGGAAAGGTAAATAAATTTAAGCCTAATCCTATAATATATATATTTTTTTTTACACTTTATAATGTCTTAAAGAAAAATTGGTTTATAGGTCTTAAAAGCTCAAATTATGTATGATCCACATACTAGAGAGTCGCGTGGTTTCGGGTTTGTTACAATGGAAACACTTGACGAGGCTGAGTCAGCAAAAGAAGGGATTAGTGGTTCAGACATCAACGGGCGAGTTTTAACTGTTGAGAGGGTGAATTATTGGTTATTTCGTCATTAGCGTCTTTGAAACCATCACCATCATCATCATTTCCTCAACTTTTCTTTTATTTATTTAGGCTCGTCGTGCAAGAGCTAGAACTCCAACACCTGGCCGTTACTATGGACCACCGAAACGTAGAGGTATGTTAATAAGGATAATTTAATATTTTATCATCGTTGTATAACTAATACCTATTTGTCTTTATCGTTATAGAACCTCGTAGGGTTGACAGATTTGATCCTAGATATGATTACAGCAGATCTTATGATCGTTATGAAAGACCACCTCGTGGTTATGGGCGTGAACCTTATTATGATCGTGCGTATGATAGGCCTTATTATGATAGAGGATACGAAAGAGGAGGATATGATCGAGCTTACGAGAGGACTTATGATAGAGCTTATGATAGAGATAGACGACCTCCCCCGCCTGCCCGATATGATCCTTATCCACGACCACGCTCTCCTTATTAACTGGATTTCTTTTCTTGGATTGTTTTGATTAAATGGATTTTCTCTAGGATACTCATCATTAGAAAACCCCCCGTGTTTATCATTTTTAGTTGTTTTCTATCGATGCGTCTATGCAGTCTTATATATGTTATATTTTTTTTTAATCACGTCCCCAGGTTTGGACAACAATTAACAACTTGAAAAATACTTCAACGTTATTCAGCATTTCAGCTTAGCTTCATCAGAGTCAACACTGGTCAACATTTTTTCGACATGTACCTCAACTGGCAACTTATTCAACACACAACAATAAATCATCAATGCGTCGCATTCAGCTTATTTCAGTTACTGCACACAACCTTCAACTCGTATATTTTCAACGAGATCATATTTTCATCTATTCAGCAAAATTTTTTTTCACTGGTTATTTTCAACGAATCCCAAATCCAACAACCCTTTTTTTTTCGTTGATTTGCTCTGTCATCAAATGATTTCGAATTCGACGTATTGCAAATTACCAACCTGAAAATAATTTTTTTTTTTTGATGACAGATAGACTGATTAAATCGTTTTAACTAAATAACCTTGAATCAAACGTAAAATAAATTGTTTCAGGAATAGTAACATCGCGTCTTCTTTAATCATTCAAAGGAGATAGGTAAAGTTATTTTTGAATTTGTCGAAACGTTTTTTTCTTGTTTTGTTACTAACCAATTTTCAGGAGACGAGGAAGGAAGTTCAAGTTCTATTTATTTATTTTTTTACAAAGTTCGCACTTTATGCGATTATGTTAAGATAGTTATAAATAGAAGGTAAGTATACTACAATTTTATATATAGATCATTTATAATTTTATAAAAAAAGTTATAAATAATAATAAAATTTATTAAAAGTGTACACCTAATATTTAAATGATAAACCTGTTTATTTAACGATTCTTTTAATTATAAGAATTAACATTGCAAATCATTAAAAATTGTAGCTACGCCTACATTAAAACCTATCATTACTAACAAAACCCCACATTAAGCGAAGTTTAAATTAGGCATAACAAGTCCTGAGTGCGAAACTCGGGTAGTAATATTATACGATAATTTTCACAAAGCCATTTAGCCAGCTTATAATGACAATCATTCACAAGACAACGGATTTTCTTGTAAATTCGTAACATAATCTACAATTAAAAGTAGTAAATACATTAAATTATAAATAAATATTAAATAATAATTAATTAATTAATTAAATTTTACCTGTAACGTTTTCGTTTATTTTTTTTTCCATGAATAGCTTTGGAGTTTGTCATATGCATGACATAATCTGTAAACTCGGCCAATGTCATTTTTGTTCCATTCACTTGGATCATAACCAGCCATGAATGTACATACACCTGGATCCAGAGAAATCACTCCCGATCCTTCCTATTAAATTATTAAATATATAATTAATTGAAGTTTTAATTTAATAGATAATATAAATAATAAAAAACCCTTTTGAAATATAGGACCTTGGCTTTCAGTCTATATTTTAAGTGGTCTGGGTATACAAAGGTAATATTCACCAAGCCGATTCATAACAAGGCAGCTATCATATTCAAGTTTTTCTGGAAGAGATTTTGATGACTTGATTTTAGGAAGAAATAAATATTTACCATGAGATTTATCCCAATTCTTTGATAAGACTGTGATAGACTGTTGAGAATCCTTTTGGAACAGAACTTCATTTTGAATTTTTTATAGTTAGCAGCAAAATTGGAAGAATATCCTTTAAGCAAGTTATTCATTGCTTCATCACAAATATCATAGAGAGTTTCAAGAACCCATTTGAGTTTGGTATCATTGAAGTTTTTCACATTAAAATATAGTATACATAAATCCTTTTTTTCTTGTTTGATACCTTCTTTTTCAACTGCGATAAGACACTGATTGTATATTTATCATGCTATTCCCATCCATTTTCTGAGTTTTGAATACTCTTACTAATTGGGATAAATGCAAATACATCATACCTTTCCTGTTTGAAATTTCTTTACTTTCTTCTTAGAACTCTTGAACCCTTTAGTAACATCTTTTCTTCTTCTGTGATTTGTGACTAAACATAATTCATTATATTATGTTACAAACATTGTGATAATTACAAGTAGGTCTTCTGTAGATTTTTTAGCTTTGCTACCATTAGTATAAACATCTGAACTGAGTATCACAAGTTGTGTCGCTTTTTTCAAAGATCTATTTCATAAGCTTAGATTCAAAGTGACATAAATAGTCCTTTTGGGTAACCACTATTTCTTCAACTTCTTTATAGTATATTCATTCTAAAAGGATAATCAAGACATTATAAGTCTCTTGGATTTTACTTATCACTTTAGTAGGTAATCTTATTTTGATTCAGAATCATTAAAAATGTAGTTATTATTCAGGAAAGTGAGGTTTCTAGCAATATTATGTTGCTTAAAACTATTTTTTTATTTTAATTTTAAAACATGAAGATCTTTACAAAACTATATTAATAATTAGTAAGCTTATTAATACAAAAAATATGATTTATTTCAGAATGTTCAAAGTCATTACAATGCTATATTTTGGTATTCTTATTTCTTTTCTATACTGGCAGGAATATTCTCAATACAATTTATTCTAAATAAAAAAATCTTTTATAAAAATATTTCTACTACAGTCAACTCTTTCTATAGCAAATTTTGATATAATGAATTTTATAATACAACAGATCTTCAGTATGATACAAATTTTTAAATATAGAAAAAATCTTGCTATATTGAATTTAGTAACCTAAAATTCATACTATATTTAACAAATTAAAGTTTGTGAACTGTATTATATAAATGCCTCTTTGTATAATAATTTATTTATAATAAAGTTCTTTAATATAACGAAAATTTACAAAAATTAATTTTAATAGAAAAGATCATGAAATTTTGTAATTTTTTGTATCTTAATAAAGTTAATGAAGTGTTTTGTGTAATATTTTGCAATTTTTTTTATAAATATTTCTTTGTTTCACATATTTTGCATTTTTTTTATATTTTTTTAACATAAGAATGCTGAAAATAAGCTCAAAAAAACATAGTAACAAACCTTTAAAAAAACAAAAGTCTCTTATTGATGCGCAAAAAAAAAGAAATTTGTTTAAAAAAACTTAATTCTCTTTACTAAAACAAAAAGACCTAGCAAACAAATATGAAGTTAGTGAGGGTATGGTTAGTTGAAATATTCTACTTCTCACTGATGATGTCCCAACACATGCTCTATACTAGTGATATGCACTTAGAAGATTAGAAGTACTTTTGAAAGGTTTGGAAGCATAATTTACTAATAAAATCATTTAGATTGGAAGCTTCCAATTAATTTTTTTACTATTAAAAGCATAAAATATATA